TAGAGCAAGTTTACTTAAGAGCACTTGCTTGGTTTACTTAGTAAAATTTTGAAGAAATTTGGTTTTGTTGTAAAAAACTTTGGGAAAATTTAGTACAAAAGATCTACAGATTAAGTGCATTTTTTCCTTAAAATATAATAATCTATTTATTTGATTTATTATTTATATAAATTATTAATATATCAAGTTGGTAACTGTTATCAAAATGGTTAGATGGTTTTTATATTTTTTTGAAAGATTATAATTTTTTATGAAGTAAGAATTCTTTTTATATTTTTTGAAAGATTATAATATTTTATGAAAATATATTTCATAAAATTATATAGATTTTCATGAAAATTATTCAAGTCTTCTTACTTAACTACCATCTTCATTAATAAAAGCTAGATAGAATCAGCTTATAACTCGAAAAAAAAATTCATTATCAGAAAGAGAAGCCAGTAGTATTAGCCCTATTATAGAGGCATTTTTAAAACATGAAGTTAATAGATACTAAAAAAATAAAAAATCTCGATATAATTCTACAATAGAAGTAGAGACAGAGCCTCATTGTATAGCAATACCAGTTTCAAAACTTGAAAAGTTAGAATTTAAAAAAGAGACAAAGTTTCAAATCTCTGATTCTTTCTTTAATAGCTTGCTTCATAGACCCAAAGAGTTATACTCTGAAGAAAAGGTTAATGCTAAAATCAAAAAAGCTACAGATAATTTACATCAAGAATTTATTAAATCTACTAAGGAAACTTTAAAAACTATTAAGCAACAGAAAAATATAGAATGCAATCAAATTAAGATAGATATGAAAAATAATGCTAGAAATTTATTTGAGTTTATATTGAAAAAATATATTTGAGATAGTACTATATATAGTCTTATTCATGAATTAGAAAAGAAAGATAGTAGGTTATATCCTGATATATCTAGATTTAGAGGGTTATAATTCAGAGAAGAATTGATTTATACTTTTTTCTCATATAGAAATATCTCAAAACTCAGCTTCCTCAATGCATTGTATTGTAATTATTACAATGCAATGTCTCTTTGAAAGTAATTATTTTTTTTGAGTGAATTGAAAATTTGAAGCTTTGCTTCCTTATTTTTATTATAAACAGAAAGTGGAATAGTAATAGTCTTTCAATTAGCTGATGCTGTAAACTCACCCTTTACTATAGGTTCTTAGCTAGCTTAATATTGCTATCTAGTACCAAGAATAAATAATAATATATCATTATCATTATTATCTTTTTCTGTTGGTAAAACTGAAAACTCATCTGAAATTGTTAAGGTATCATTTTCCATACCTATAGTAACAGAAATATCTGAAAAGGTCTCAATAGAATGTTTTTCTCCTACTGCCTCTGTTAGTCTATAAACTTTTTTTCTGTCTATTTTAAATCCAAAATATTTTATAAAATGGTTTGCGATATTTCTAGAAATATGTGACCCATCTGAACCTGTATCAAGTAATACATGAGGTATTTCTAAATTATATACTTTATATGAAATAGTAGCATAATTATTGGATTCTTTTATTTGCAAAAAGTTTATTTTTAATAGGTCAAACCAATTTTAATATAATTGTGACTTTTGATATTGTTTTATAGTATAATTTAGAGACTATGCCTTCTCACAATAATTGCTTGAAGTCAAAGATACTGGCATATCTTTTTCTGAGCATGCAATAAAAAATAGTTCTAGAATAAATTAATATTTTTTTGTTATATTTTCCTATACTTTGTCTACTTCTTTATTTGAATAGTTTTTAGAATGATATAAATAAAATGAGTCTTTCATTTCAGGAAACAATTTACTAAGATCTGTATATATTTCAGTAAGAATTTCTTTAGGGCATTATGAAATATACCTTGTTAATATATATTTAACAGATCTAATTTTCATTAATAGTTTTTTTACTAGTTTTTAGTTTAGTAAAACTAGCTTTGCTATATCTTTTAGTAGTACTCTTCTTTATAGAAACCCTCTTTTTTTTTTTATATTAAAACAATTTGTTTCTTGAAATTCAATCTCGCTATTTTCTTCTTGGTCACTTTCTTCTTAGTCACTTTCTCCTTGATCACTTTCATTATCTTCTGATTGGCTTTAGTCTATATATCTATATTGTAAAATATTATTAACTTTTTTAACTTTTTTAGCTTTAGGGCAATTAGTTTTTGTATAACCAGCATTTCCACATATTGAACAGTATCTTGCAACAGTTTTTTTCCTAGTTTTTGTAGACTTTTTTATAGTGCACAATTTTTTTTGATTGTATATTAAAATTTGAATAGCCTAATCTGTTATACAATTCTTTTTCAATAAAGTTATCCAGAACATCAGGATCACAAGATGCATCATTAGGATAAACTAATCTTTGCACAATAAAATCTAAATGATCTAATACTTTTTTATATATAGTTAAATTTTTACTAGGTATTGTATTAGATAAAATTATAGGAACTGATGAATGGTTATTAACTCCATTATATGTAACAGTAGAAAGTTTTCACTCAAGCTATGTATCTTTAACAGCAGTAAAGAATGCATTTATATCTGCTAGGTTTGTAATTTTAACTCTTGTAAATAATTTATTAGATAAGTGAGTCCATAATATAGCCAATACATCCTGGTTATTATTTAGTGTTTGTAATTATAAAAGATGAATTCTATCTTTATAGATTTGGAGGGTATCAGTAGGATTAAATTTTTCTTGAGCTAATCTGAATAAAGAAGTATTGCAAAAATCTATTATTTCTTCATGATATTTATGCTATAACCAAGCTAAGAATCGTGTTAGGCTATTAATATATGTACCTGCTAGATATTGGGCTAGAACAGAGGTATACTTATCAGATATTTTTGATTTTAAAATTTTAGCTTTTACATTGTCGTTAAATTCAACAACTGCTAGTGTATCTCCATATGCAAATACTTATACTACTTTATTATAATATTTATCTGGAGGTTATTGATCTATATACTGAGAAATTTGGGCAATTAATGGAGATAATGAAGATATAACATCTTGTAAAGTCACCATATTTTGAAAATTTGCTATAATATTTTGTAATAATAAATTTTGTTGATTTAAATTAAAAATATTTTACCAGATATCATAAGTTTTATTTTTCTATTTTTTATATCGTTCAAATAACCTATCTGATTATATTCTAACAAATATTTGTTAGTTTTGCATTCTTTTATTTGCTGATAGGTTTATCTATTTAAAAGAAGTAATCCAAATTTTTCTAGAAGTAGCTTGGATATACAATTTTTTTTATCTATAGAAGTTGCTTTTAACAAGTGATGATTAAGCTTGTAAGCTCTATAAGCTTGATTAGGAAGATCATAGTCATTTTGAAGAGTGCTTAACTAGGTTTGTAAATTGGTTATTTGGTTTACAGCATTATTTATACAGTTATTCAAATGAAGATAGGTATCTATTGTTGACTGTTCTAATAAATTGCCAGCTTCAGATATTGCATTAAGATAATCTACAATGCTATTTAATGTTGGCACTATATTTAGCTTTTGAAAATATAATCTAATATTATTAGTTGCTTGCTGAATTCTGTGATTTTGGAGTATTGCCTGATTTTCTGTATGTGATCTTCATGAGTGGGCTATGACTATAGTATTATTTATTTTTTCATCAAGATTATCAATTTTATTCTGAAAAGATACTAACTCTTTTTCTAAATAATCAATATAATTCTCTTAGTTCTTTGAATTTTGAAGCACTTTTTTTAGCTGTTTTTTAAGATTAGAAATTTCTAATTGTAATGGATCTAGTTCTTTATCTCATATCAAAATTTCTTTTTCAAGATATTTGATATAATTCTCTTTTAAGACTAGATCTTGTTACAATTTACTAATCTAGCTTTGTATTGCAAATAAAGCACTCTTGAATTGATTGATTCTATTATTTATTTCTCTCTATTATATAAAGGAGAATCAGAATAGGTGAACCTATTATTTATATTGATCCTCAGAGAGCATATAATCTTGATCGAGATTTTGCTTTGCAAAAGCTTTATTACCAACCTAGAGGATATTATAAAACAGCCAAAAAATTACTAGATGCCTATAAAAAAGCTAGTTATAATTTTTTTATAGATGAAGTACGTGATTAGCTAAACAAACAAGCTTTGCATCAGATTTATAAACCTAGACCAAAGTTTATTCCTAGAGTCTCATTTAATAATATACAAGTTCTTAATGAGTGTTATCAAGCTGATATTCTTTATATGCCCTATGATATAATTAATAATAAAATATATAAATATTGTTTATGTATAGTTGACATTGCTTCCAGATATAAGTGGGCAGTTCCTTTAACAGATAAGATATCGAGTAGTGTAGCTAAAGCCTTTAAAAAAGTTTATAGTAATTTCAAATATCCTCTTATTTGGCCTAAATTATTAATGGTGGATCCTAGTTCAGAATTTAAATCAGACTGTAAAGAATTAATGAAAAAACATAATGTTGAAATTAAGATTGACACATCCCATAGAAGTTAAGCTATTGTTGAGAGATTTAATCACACTTTAGCTGAAAAATTGTTTAGATTACAGGATGCTTCAGATTTATTGTTGCCTATCTCCAAAAGATCTAGAGCTTGAGTTAAAAATCTTTCCATTATTGTCAATAATCTTAATAATTCAGTAACTAGACTAATTGGTATAACCCCTGCTAAAGCTATAAAAATGAAGCAAGTTATTGCTATATCTTCCAAATTATGAAATGGGCCTATAGCCTTTAATAAGTCTAAGCTATCATATAATACATCAGTAAGATATTTGCTTAAATCTGATGAGTTAGAAGGTGGATATATGCGAGCAACTGATATAAATTGGTCTTCACAAGTTTATTATATTCATAAAGCTTTGGTACAAAAAAATCAACCTATCTTATATTGGCTTAAAGATAAAGAGGGCAATAGACCAAAGCAGTCTTTTGTTAGAAAAGAACTCCAAATTATTCATTCTAATACTGAATTACCTCCTCAGTGGGTGCTTACAAGTTAGACCTAAAAAAAAATCAAAGACTTACAATAAGAGACATTCATAGAATATTTTAAGTTGGTATTTCTGGTCTTTTATAAATTAAGAAAATCTTTTGCTTCTTTATCGATCTGGGCTTCTTTAACAAAATAATCTTTAGCTAATTTGTAATATAGTTTATTTAGTTCTAAAATAGAATTAAGAATCTTTAAATCATTGCTATACCATGCTTTGCAATCATTCATAGTTTTATTATATTTGTCTTCATTAAGGAATATAGTCATAGCTGAATTTAATATATACTCTTCTGAGTCTTTCACTTGATGTAATTTTTTAATTCTTTCTTTATAGTTTTGCATAAACTTGTCATCTTTTGGTTTTCTATAATAAAGCTCTGCTTTAACTACATTAATTAAAGCTTGCTCAACTTCTTGGTATATGGGCTTTGTTTCAGATACTTGATCAATGTTTTTATTAGTAAATAATATTTAATTATATAATAAGTTTTGATTATCTAAAGTTTTGTATATAATATTTTATAAAATCTTTTCTTTAAATATTAGTATAAAAATGATTAGTAAATATATTTACTCATTTTATCATAATTCTGGTAAAATTTGTAGAAGAACCTATATATGCTCTGAAGGATGTAGTTATTATTGGAAAGCTAAAAAAAAGAGTACCTTGTACTGATTGTGGTAAACCAACTGGTTCAACTTCTGGTTGGTGTCCATTGCATATCAGAGGTTATTATATTACCTAATATTATAATAGACTTCGATCAAATATATAAAAAAGAACTTATAATGAAATATTTAATATATTTTGATTAAATGTACAAGAAAAAACTTAAGAGAAAATAATAAATACTCATAAAGATAGACTTGCAAAACTTAATATTAATCTTTGTAAAAGATATTTATATCTAATAAAAGTAGAAGATAGAAAATATTGTGATAGTTGTCAACCTGGTTCAGTACTATAATAGATTATATACTAGGACTTCAAAAATAACTTCTCAATAAATGAAAAATCTAGCATATATTTGTTACTCTTTAGTATATATATAGTATGAGATTTTGTGACTCTTATTGAAATTTTGTTATCCTTTACTATATATATATATTTTTTGTTATCTTTTGATATATATAGTTACATTTTTTGTTACTTTTTTGATATATATAGGTCACATTTTTTGTGTCAGTAAGTAGTGAAGAATCAGCTTTAGAATGAATTCTGCTATATTGAATAATATTGGTATCTTTTTTGTTATAAATTTGAGTAAAAGAATATATTCTAGATATATAACAATATTGGTTTACTAGTTGAGATTTTTAATGTGTAAATGATAGCAAACAAGATAGCATAAATAATTGTTATCTTTTTGATATAAATTTGAGCAGAAGATTGCATTCTAGATATACAAAAAATGATATTTCTATACAAAAATAATGATGCAATTACAAATTTATCATTATTTGAGTGATGACACAAAAGCAAATTTATACCCCACTATAAAAAATGATATCCTTTTTAATATAAATTTGGATAAATAAATAGGTTCTAGATAATTTTTATTAATTTGATAACACAAAAGCAAAATTATATGCAAGATTGATATCAGTAACAAAAAAGTATTCCAGAACTTCTAAAATGCCTCTA